GGAGGGGTTCAAGGCCAGGTTGGCCTGGGCATTGGGCAATCTGGTCTGGTGGGAGGTGTCCAGGGCAGGGGAGGTGGGAACTAGATGATTTTTAAGGTCCCTTCCAACCCAAAGCATCCTGTGACTTTACCATCCCATCCCTGCACCCCACAGCCCTCACTCCCCACTCTGACACCTTTATCCTTCCTGCTTGCGCTGGTGGCAGGGAGATGTGGGTCCCAGAGACCCCCCTAATGCTGTGGTGTCCCACCTGCAGGAGTGGCACTCGTTGGAATCCCGGTGGCCATCGGTGCATTGGGCTTCACAGCCACCGGCATCGCCGCCGGGTCGGTGGCTGCCAAGATGATGTCGGCATCTGCCATCGCCAATGGTGGAGGAGTGGCCAAGGGCAGCACCGTGGCCGTGCTGCAGTCCATCGGTGAGTGGGGAGGGCAGGGGAGCTGGGCTGGGGTCATCCCAGGGGGCTGCAGGAGGTGACACACTCATCTTGCAGTAGAGCCCAACCAGCTCTTTAACCCACCGTCAGTCTGAACCCCCCAAAGCTATGGGGCAGGGATCACTCCATGATGGGGGGCAGCTGAAGGGGCTGGCTGTGCTCAGGGAGCAGCCCCTGCTCCCAGGCTGGCTCCTCGGAACCCTCCGGAGAGGTCCTTGGCTGCCTCTGCCCGGTGCTCGGTCCCTCAGCCGCCAGCAGCGATGCTCCCGGGGCATCACACCTCTTTCTGTCTTTGCAGGAGCTGCAGGTCTCTCTCCTGCTACCAAAATCGGGCTGACAACTGCGCTGGGGTCACTTGGTGCAGCGGTCGGTGCCATGCTGTCAAGGTCAGATGACTCATCTGACAGTAGCGACGATGATGATCCTAAGGGAGGCCAAAGCTCGGGCCAGCCCCGGGCCAGACCGGGTGGGAAGGGGCAGCCCCGGTTCCAGCGACGATCCCGGGAGCAGCGGGCAGCAGGATGGATGGGCAGGAATGGCAGGAGTGTGGGGTGCACCCCAGGGGTCTCCCCTTCACTCAACTTCTCCCAGCCTGGCCAGCAGGGTGACTCCCCTCGCCTGCCATCTCCCAGGGGGGCTGGGGCGGTGTGCCCCCTCCAACTCCCGAATTTGGGGTGGGGGGGTGCATGTGGCTGAGGAGCGACGCGGGTTTTGCAGCTCGGAGACACGCGTGTGCCATCCGGAGCGACCCCCCCGGGACACCTTGCATCTCTCCCGTGCCTCCCAGCTGTATCTGACCCCCAAATAAAGACACACACCCCCCCCAACGCAGTCTCCGCCTCCTCC